CCATCTTGGTGCTACTTGTGAAAAGCCAGAACTAAAGTTCCCGGGCTTTGCACTCCAATATAAGTTTCAGTTTTCTCAAGCTTCCCAAGCAATCAGTCACATTGTCCAACCAAGATGACAGCTTGTTGCTTGGTGACTTCTCTCCTCCTCCTCTGGTCAGTGAGCCATTAAAATGTGCATGACTCATCGACTAGTTATGCTGTGGCGACAGAAGGCTCCATCCTCCTCCAGCTCAAAACTGTGTCAAACTAAATTAACGTTAGAATACCCCAGGATACAACCAATCCCATGCCCAAGTAGAATTCAGGCTTGACAGGCTGCCCCCCCCCTCAACAGCAGGAATGTCCCTACAAGATACAAAGCACAGTGGGGTTAATCAATGCCACTAGCCCCCTCTCCCTGCCCCAGGAGGTCCCTTTCGTTTTTGAGGGAACTAATCAAGGAACTGCTTTATCGATCTATCTGCGCTCACTTTTCAACTCTACTCAGGTGGCCTCAGAAAGTGGATACCCCTTCCAGTATAGTAGCTATTCCAATTTTCCCCTTTGTACTCTGGAGTCTAAGACCTTCTTTATTTCATAGTGAGTCTGACCCTCGATTAACATGAGATTAGGGGGTGCCCGACCCAACGGCCAGAGTTGCGAGCCACCGACTGACTTCAATAGATTGCAGTGGAATACCGGTTGCACCTTCCCCAGCAATCGGGGAAGTTGAATTTGTACCATGACTGGGTTAATCACTTTCATTATTGGGAATGGTCCTAGGAATTTTGGATCAAGTTTCTTAGAGGCAAGCTTTAGTTTCAGCTACTTCATGGACAGGTAAATCCTATCTCCCACCTTAAACTCCAGTTGGGTAGACCAGTGCTTAAAAATGTGCCTCTCCAAGATTTTAGAACTTTCTGTTCTGAAATTTATTCACCTTGTAAATGTAGCCCAATTAAAAACTTATCTCAAAATGTTACAAGAGCATAGAGAAAGGGGGGGCTTTGGTCTCCCCTGCTGGGAATTATATTATCGAGTTTCACTGCTAGCCTGGATGAAGGATTGGGTGTTATTGAAGAGGAGGTCTTTATTAGATTTAGAAGGACACGACCTACAACACGGCTGGCATGCACTGCTGTGGAGAGAGAAAGGTGAACAGTATAAGTATTTCAAGAGACATTATCTAAGGCGAATATTGCTGGAAACCTGGGACATATTTAGAGGAAAATTTTACACCAAGATCCCAACCTGGTTCTCAGCAATAGAAGCGATGACATACCCAACAACTCTTAAACAGGATAATATTTTTAGATATAAAAATCTTGTGGATGCCCAAGGGATATTAAGGTCCAGAGAAGATTTGGTTGATAAAGGAATTAGGCTAGATTGGTGGACCTATGGTACAGTTCAATCTTGTTACAGGAGAGATAGAGATAATTATGGGATATATGTGATGGAACAGAGTTTTGATAAAATATTATTGGGAGAGGACCATAAATACATAATCAAAATAGATGTACAATTGCTTGAGCGAATGATAGGAGAGGAAGTTGTAAAAGACACTATGATTGCCTGGGGGAAGAATTTTGGGTACTCTATCCCCCTAGAAAAATGGCAACAAATGTGGGGGGGAAATATTAAAATGACTACGGCAACGTCTTTCAAGGAAAATGCATATAAAATGTTGTATAGGTGGCATCTCCCACCAGCAAGAATTGTCAAAATGTTTCCGGGTGCATCAGAGTTATGTTGGAAATGTAGGAAAACCAGAGGTAAGTATTTCCACCAATGGTGGACTTGTATAATGGCAAAGAAGTATTGGAGAAGGATTAAGAATTGGATTAAGGAAATTACTAATGTGGACCTCCTACAGAAACCTGAGATATATTTACTAGGTATTCGCCCAGAGGAGCTGAGTAAGAAAAAATGGTATCTCACTGTACATATTTTAGTCGCAGCTAGAATAGTGTTTGCCCAACAGTGGAAAGAAAAAGAGATACCAGCCAGTCCCCAAATTATAAACAAAGTATTGGAGTGTGCTGAGGCAGATAGAATGACATATATGTTGAAAGAAAAGACGATTCTGAATTTTTTCAAAGTTGGGACAGTTGGTATTAGTGGTTGAATAAAAGAACTGAGATGAAGTGAGGGCCTATATTAATACGAAGAGAGATACACTTACTTAGATTGAGAGATAATTGTATGAAAATCACATTTGGGGATTAATTACCTTATTCTGTGTTGTGGGCATAATTATTTACTAATGAGGGCAGGAATATTATCTGCCGGGATAGACGTATTGAATGGAGGAGGGAGGGAGGGAGGGGAATGTATGGTTTTTGCTTGTATGTATAAACAATTTTTTTGTCTTGTGTTGATTTTAACTTGAAAAAATTAATATAAAAAAATATTTTTTAAAAAAACTTATCTCCAATGATATTTCTTTATTTGCTTAATTATGAGGCATTACCCTGCTCCAATTCCAAAGGATTTTCAGAAACTTACAGACTTGCTCCTAATAGGACATTTAAACCAAATGTCATGATAAAATTGAACTACAAATACAATAACTGAAAGTAATTAAAGACCCTCCCAATAGAATAAAGGGAGGGGGGTGGAAGTCTACCACAGGATGTGTCTGCTTGTCTTTGGCTTTTTGGATCAGTCATTTTTTAATGTGCTTCCAAGAATTACTCAGGGTGGGAGACAATATTCTATTGTTCCAGAGAATTCCATCTTTACAGCCACAGAATTAGCACAATGTTTTTTTAATGATATTTTTTGCATTGGAATTGTTTTTTTTCCTTCTAGTTCCTGTATAATTGTCAGTTATGGGCCCTTTGGTTCTTGAGCTCATGGATGTCATCATCCTATTTCTTACTCAAAATCTCTAAGGAACTTCACTGAACATCCATCGTTTTCTCTTATAATTACCAGCAGAGTCTCAGTAATGCAACTTCTTCTCAAATCCTTAGGGATGTCCAAGGGACAACTCCCCAAAAACAGGCGAAGACTGAAAGGTGGCATTATTTGTGGAACCAGAGGGCTAGAAATGTCACAATCTGAGAAATAATATATATGCAGACTATTCTAAATAATTACAGCCTCTTCTTCTTCTTTTTTAATGCTTCATTGTTGCAGAAGGAAATGGTTCATATCTGCTAATGAAAATCTTCTTGAAAGACATGGAATTTTTCATGGCAGTAATAGCAGTCCTATTGCCAGTGGTTACATGCCTTATTTCTCATACTTCTCGCAAAGATTGTGCCATGGGGAAAACTCCATTTATTAAACACAAGTATTTTCTGCCAGGAGATTTCATGATAGCTGGGATAATCTCTCAGTTCTACTTGATGTCTGATCCAGTGTATTTCAGAAGACATCCATCTGAAGAACTGGTTAATGATTTCATGTAAAGACTTTCTCTTCTTAGCTGTACATGTCTCAAACCAGATATCTTTCTCTAAGAAGATGCCTGGACTGAGTTAATTAGTGGTATTGCTTGCAGCACAATTTTTTTCTCCTAGTTTCTCACTGGTTGGTTCCTTCATTCTTAAGTTAATAGAAATGCATTCCCATGGATACATTTTACCTGGCAAATAAATTACAAACACACATGTTTAAGGCAGATTTCACCCCAGTGCTTTTGTTCAAATTCTATATTGGGCTTTTTTCATTTTCTTTCTGTGGAATGAATTTTCAGTGCACTACTATTGAAACACCGTTTATAGCTAATTGAATGTCAACTTTAACAGTTTAATTTTTCTTGTGAATATTAGGGAACAACGGCACTATGTAGTGCTTTTAATTTGTTTGTTCAGCATGTATGGAGTACAAATGTAGGGCTGCCCCAATGAAACATTTACATCTTTTCCTAGGAGAAGGGATTCCAGAAAAAGAATTCCATACATCATTTGTATGGAACATATGAAGAATGGTTGCAGGAATTGGGTATATCTAGTTTAATGAAAAGAAGGACATGTTAGCAATGTTCCAATATCAAAGGGGCTGCCACAAAGAAGAGGGGTCAACCTATTCTCCAAAGCACCTGAATGTAGGACAAGAAGCAATGGATGGAAAGTAATCAAGGAGAGAAGCAACCTAGAACTAAGGAGAACTGACAGTGAGAACAACTAATCAGTAGAACAATTTGCCTCCAAAGGTTGTGGGTGCTCCAGCACTGGAGGTTTTTAAGAAGAGATTGGATAATCATTTGTCTGAAATGGCATAGGGTTTCCTGACTTCCAAAGTTCCTTTCAGCTCTGTTATTCTGTTTACTCTCAAGTAAGCTTTAAAATACATTTTCTTCCTCTACCCATAAAAGTATCCAAAGTGAAGACAGAAGAGCTAAAGATACAAGACTTAGAAGTAGGTCTGAGAATTACAGGTAGATCATAATGTTATTATTAATGCTCCTTCAAGCAATCCATCAGTTTCCTAGTGAATCATTTTTAGAAATCATAACAGCTGGCTTAAAAAAATAATGTTTTGTCCAAGACCATTTTCCCTTTCATCGAAACATAATGTTTTAGACAACTCTGAAAAATTTCTCTGTTTCTCTCTCTTGTTCCCCCCACTCTCTCTCTCTCTCTGTATATAGATGATAGATAGATAGATAGATAGATAGATAGATAGATAGATAGATAGATAGATAGATAGATCTAGATCTAGATCTAGATCTAGATCTAGATCTAGATATATATGTTTTCGTAGATTTTCACGGGTAGAGGTATGCAAGTTTTGGTGTATTCGGATACACGGGAAAAGACCCGAATACACCAAAACTTGTGTGTGTGTGTGTGTGTGTGTGTGTGTGTGTGTGTGTGTGTGTGTGTTGTTATGTAATTTATACATTATTGTTATCCTTCAATCCATCTGTGGCAAAGTGAAAAATTTTGGAGTGCTAACGCATTTACATGCTTTCTTCTTGCATGGTACTACACAATCTGTTTTTTTCTGCTTAGCATTTAGCAGAATTGTAAATAAAGTATACGTAATGCCACATTCTTTAAGAGAAGAAATATGATTTGTAATGTATCTGTGTAGATTTCTTCTACAGAACTACCAACATATCCTGGCCTTAGTTTTTGCTATAAAGGAGATCAATGAAAACAATCACATTTTATTCAACATGACTCTGGGTATGCACCTCTCTAACAGTTATTTTATGGCGAGATGGACCTACTTGGCTTCAATGGAGCTCCTCTCAACACGGGGCAGATTCATCCCCAATTATAAGTGTGATACTAAGCACTGGGCAGGATCTGTTATTGCAGGACCTAACTCTCACATCTGTCCCTTCATGGCAAATGTTTTGAATGTCTACAAGATGCCCCAGGTAAGATTTGCTCTTGAAATACATATCATGGGCTGTGACAATAATTTTGAGAGATAAGAGGAAGAACTGTAGCCTAGACAGTGATGTGGTAAAAAAAATCTTAGTCCAAACCAATTTGAGAAAGCATCTCAGAATTGATTCCAGGAAGGAAGGGAAGGGAGGGAAGGAAGGAAGGAAGGAAGGAAGGAAGGAAGGAAGGAAGGAAGGAAGGAAGGAAGGAAAGAAGGAAGGAGGGAGGGAGGGAGGGAGGGAGGGAGGGAAGGAAGGAAGGAAGGAAGGAAGGAAGGAAGGAAGGAAGGAAGGAAGGAAGGAAGGAAGGAAGGAAGGGTCATTCTGTAATATAAAGATCAAGATAAATATTCCCAAATACTAATACATTGAATTACTGAATCAAGCCCATGAATACTTAAAATTATTATTAAAACATGGTGAGAAAAAGAATTGATGAAAATATATTAACATTTCTATTAAGTGTATTTATAAGTTAAGAAGTCATAGCATTTTAATTAGTTTGGATATAGATTTAGTAGTAAATTGAGTATAGTACCTAAAATAGCTATGTCATATGGTCACCACTACATTGTTCATCATGTTATTGATTTGTGTTGTTTTTCTTAAATGTAATTTTGTAGATGAAACCGTTAGGAGGGAAATGCTTTCAGACTTGCAAGATTGTGGTTTCTGGATTATCTCAAATGACTGGCATCAATCTTGCCCACCTAAAAGTGGCTCCCTCCTCAGCTGCTTTTATACTGCAATGAATTAGGGAGAGTCAATTCTGAAATGGTTATGATATTTCCTGAATGACATTCTTATTTTAATTGTTTTTATTAAAGTCTATTATATGATAAAATATATAATAGATATTTTTGATATCAAGAAAGATAAAGAAAAAGAAAGTCAAGAAATATCAAGAAAAAAAGAGCAAAGAATCAAAAGTGTAGAAAGAAAAATAAAAACCAGTGGTTTCTGATTCTTTTAATTTTATTTTTATAAATGTTCATTCATAAACATTTTTGAAAAACAATGCATTGTCACAGTATCATTTATAAATAGAACAAAGCCAAAGAAAGTTGGTAGTAAATATCAGTACACAAACAAGTAGCGTTAGTAATAATACAATAGCAGTAATAATAATATAACCAAAAAGTTTAAACTAGGTTTCTTCTTACATTAGCTTATTTACAATTTTATCAATTAATATGTTTATAGTTACAGTATATACCTCTTTATTTTCAATATTGATAATATTAACATTCATAAACTTACTTTCTCTAATTTCTACCTCTTTTCTCTATCCATTCATAAAATTTATTCCATGTTCGATAATGTTCTGAATCTTCTTTATCTTTAATTTTTAAAATTAGTCTGTCCACTTCAGCACAGTCCCAAGTTTTTTCTAATTACAACCTCATCCAGTGGGAAGTTCATATTTTTCCAGTATTTAGCATATGTGATCCTTGCTGCCATCAGTATATGTAACACTAAATATGTGGTTGCTTTATCATAACCCTCTGATAGTGTACCTTAGAGGTGTGTTTCTGGTTTAAACTCAATATTTTGCTCAGTTATCATTTCCAGCCAGTTATGTATGTTCTCCCAATATTTTTTTGCTTTACAACACATCCACCACATGTGGTAATAGGTGCCTGGAGTCTGGTTGCATTTCCAGCATTTGGCGGATAGGTTACTGAACATTTTTGTCAATCTCGCAGGTGGTAATGCCACCTGTAAAATATTTTGTATAGGTTTTCTTTGTATACAAAGGCCATAGTCAATTTGAAATTTCTGTCCCAAAGTTTCTGCCATTTCTCTAATTCTATATTATAACTGATATGTTTTGCCCAGGTAACCATTGTTTCTTTATTTCTTTCTCCATTTTATAGTTCATCAAATAATTATATGTATTTTTTAATTAGTTGTTCATCAGACCCTATTAAAATTTTGTCAAATTCTGTTGGTTCTTTATTTACACCCCATGTTCTAACGTCTTTCTCATATCTTAATTGAATCTGGAAATACAGCCACCAATCACAATCTACCCCTTGGTTCTTCAGTTGTTACCTAGATTTAAGGTTTCTAGTTTTTTTAATCGCAGTAGGGTATACGAAAACCTCAATCTTTTCTTTACATTTCCAATTAATTCAAATCATTTCTATAATAACAAAGTCAATCAAATCATCAAAAACTATAATCAGTTTCATTTTTTTCCCATTTTAAGTGTAAATTCAGAAGTGGTTCCCAGGTGTAAACAAAACTAAGTCAATTGTTCCCTTTAATTAAAACTGTTAATTTTGCCATCTCGCTCACAAATTAATGCATTTCTGTTTTTAGTTTTGTGATTATACTACTTCTAAACATCAGATTTTTATGAACAAGGTTAGATATCTATTAATGTTTGCATTAATGTTTACAACAAAGACCATGAATTAAGAACAGATTTTTGAAAAATAATAAATATTTCAACTTGGAAAATCATCCCTCCCTCCCTTATTTTTTCTACATTTAGCTGATATATGGATCTTCTCCTATGAGAGGTGACCAGATACAAGCTGCTTTCTTCCATCGCTTTTTCCCAGATGGTGACCAACAGATTGTGGGCATTCTCCAGTTGCTGTTGTATTTTAAGTGGACATGGATTGGGCTGTATCTCCAACGTAATGAGAGTGGAGACAGATTCATTCAAAATGCTGTTCCGTTGTTTTCCAAACAAGGTATCTGCTTTGAGTTCATGGGAGAGATACCCCAGGAAACATTTTCTAATGATATTGCTTCAGCCTTTAAAGGTTTTAGCAAAATGTACGTTAATGTCATGAACAGCACTACCAATATCATTATCGTATATTGTGAAAACCAAGTTACCATCATTTTTAGACTGTTGCCCTATTATAGAGAATTTGAAGATATATCCATCGAGAGAAAAGATAAAGTTTTGATAATGCCAGCCCAGATGGAATTTACATCCACTCCCTTTCTAAAAGACAGGGGTATGGTCTTTATCCATGGCGTTATAACTTTTGAAGTTTCTTCCAAGGAGATTTTTGGATTTAATAAATTCCTTCAGATGAGAAACCCACTTCAGAAGCAGAAGACCATTTAATGAGAGTGTTCTGGGAAGAGGCT